GACAAGGAGGAGGGGGAGGAGGAGGAGGAGGAAGGGGAAGGGGAAGGAGGAAGAGGAGGGAAAAAGTGTAGCATCTTTCAGTTTGACCCTTAAGGGACAGAAACTCCTGCAGCGAGGAGACATGCCATCTGTTAGCTATGAAGAGAATTCTACCCAAACCCCCAGGTAGTTGATTTTATTGCTGAAGGATTATGAAGTTCTAAATTTTTATGGTCTCATCTACAGTGTATGGGAATAAGTGTGTCTCAGCAGGGTGGAGCTGACTCAAGGTCAAGGTCAAGTGTGGTTCCCAAAGCTGAAGTCCCATGTCTGAACTCTGAAAGCCTGGCCCAGCCATTGTCTAGAACACAGATGTGTATGTGTGTGTGTGTGTGGGGGGGCATTCCTCAAGGGTAGCCCAGAAAAACAGGGATCCACGGGCCATCGCCAGGAATGCTGGTCACAAATGACATTCTGTGATCTGAATGGAAGAGCTCTTGGTTTGGGGGATAAGGAATTAGCCAGGTCCCATAAAACTTGAGGAAAACTCAGATTTCTCAGGGCTGAGGAGTCTTCACTTACTACTTCTGAGGGGGAAAACAAATTAACATCTATTAGGTTGCAGATTAGATAAAGAACTTTAAAAATAGTATTACTTTTGGCAGAGCTGGGGATGGAGCAAACATTCCTCCACTGGGCCTCGTTCCCAGCCCTGCGTTTAAAGAGAGAGGGTGGAGAGAGGATTCTGGGGAGAGGGAAAGTGGAAGAAAATGAGGGAGGAGGTAACAATGTTTGACAAGAAATGTACTCATTACATTACTTATGTGACTATAAGCCCTCTGTAAACCACCCTGCAATAAAATAAAACACAATAAAATAAGACACAAAGAAAGCTGGGGGGTGGATGGGAGGGAGGTAGGGGGGAACGGAGCTGTGGAATCATAAACTAGTGTGGTCCAAATTATGGCACACACGTTGGTTGTTCTTTCAGAGAAGATGAGACCGATGGCATGGCAGTTCAGCTTTGATAGTATATCCATTTTAAATAGATATATACACACCGAATACTTCTAATGGTTAATCGCTGGTTAAATATTATAGGTGCTCTGTCATTTGAGTGAAGCCCCCAGCCCAAGAAGTATTTTTTCAATGCCAAGGTGTTTTTTTTTTTTTAAATTAAGACAGCCAAGAAACCTTTTCTGCAGAACAGGCATGAGACAAGATGCTTTTGGATAGGTTCCATGGCCAAATGGGGTCATTATCTAGAAACCCTAAGAGCAGCTGTGTGCCGAGAGATCATCCCAGAGGAGGCACCCTAAAACAAGCGAGAGTGGACCAAAGACACCAAGAGGAAGCTAGGAGCCTCCCAGGAAGTGTGCTGTAAGTCAGTGGAATTGAAGTGAGGATATTTGGCCTTTGCCCTGCTGTGCGTGGATAGGCACGCGGACCTTCCTTTCCTCCTGCTACAATCGGTTGAGAAAACCTAGCTTGAAACTGCTGGGGATCTGGATCAGCTCCAGCGCGTGTGGAGAGGCTGCGAAGGGAAAGGTGACTTGAAAGAGGTACTTGGTGTCCAGCATCAGCTGTGATGAGTCGCCCCGGTTATTCAGGAGAGCCTGCAATCAGGAGGGGAAGAGCAGGTTAGGACCCTGGAGCAGACGCCCTGAAGCTGCCACCGGCAGATGGGGGGGAGGAAAAATCGGCAGGAAAGGGTGAATGAATGTAGCAGTGGTACTCACTGGACACTATGTGGACAATAAATTAGATAAATTGTGCATGAGAAGGGATGACATTGTCCAGAAAGAAATGAACTCATTACCTGCTTTATGTAACTATAACCCCTCTGTATATCACCTTTATGATTAAGAAATATTTAAAAATGTAACAAAGTCACCGGGAAGGCAGTGACACGCATCAGCCATGCAGGTGTAGAACAGCACGGCTGCAAAGGGAAATGTGTGTCCAGGATCCACTCTCATGAGCATTTACTGGCTCTGCTTTGCTCCCATAGTTCATTTCCCACAGGATGGACTGACTGTAAGCCTGATTCTTTTTTTTTTTTTTTTTTAATTTAGTTGAAGGGCTTGAACTCAGGTCTGGGTGCTATCCCTGAGCTTTTATGCTCAAGGCTAGTGCTCTACCACTTTGAGCCACAACTCAACTTCTGATTTTCTGGTGGTTAATTGGAGATAAAAGTCTTAGAGACTTTCCTGACCGAGTTGGCTCTGAACTGCTATCCTCAGATCTCTACCTCCTGAGTAGGTAGGATTACAGGTGTGGGCCACCGGCACCTTGCTATGCTAGGAGTGTTGCAGAGCTGGCTTTGAGTCACAGTCCTCCAGATCTCAGTCTCCAGAGTAGCTAGGATCATAGGCATGAGCCATCAGTGCCTGGCATTAAGGATCTTTTATGTCAGGTTTCACTGTACTAATTGTGTGTGTTTGTGTGTGTGCTCACTCGCACGTATGCACGCGCATGTGTGCTGAGAATGGGCTTGAATTCAGGTCCTTGTGCTTCTTTGGCTTGCTTGCTTAGCCGGTGCCAGCCTGTCACCATATTAATTTTGAATGGGCATCTTACCATCCACAGGGAACTCACCTGTACTTTGCGGACAAAGGATGGAGTGACTCTCTTCTCAAAGTCGTCAATGGGCGTGTAGGAATTCAGGATCTTTATGATCTGCACACAGCACAGAGTCTGGGGTTAGCCATGGAAAAGAACCTGACGTTGCCTCTGAAATCCCAGGAAGGGATGTTTGCGAACGCTGGGAAGCATGGGTCTCTTTCAGATTATAATCTGACTCAGAAACTTTCATGTTATAATTTGCTCTCAGAAAGCAAGGAATCAAGGTATGGAGGGGACCAGATGCTGGTGGCTCTTGCTTGTAATCCTAGTTACTCAGGACGCTGAGATCTAAGGAACACAGTTCTAAGCCAGCTGGGGAAATCCAGGAGACTCCAATTAACCACCTGAAAACTGGAAGTGGCACTGTGGCTCAAAGTGGTAGAGTTCTAGCTTTGAGCAAAAAAGAGCTCAGGGACAGTGCCCCAGGCCCTTAGTTTAATTAAGTACCACCATGGTGACAATGACACTACCACCACCACCAACAACAAAAGAGGTACAGAGGGCAGGACTCTGTCTGTCTCTCATTCACCCTGACATACAGAGCGGAGCTTCGCGGACAAGCTAACATCACATTTATGTCAGATCTTAAGGTTCACACTCATTCTCTTTAACACATTACCAGGGGGAAAGGGCAGACCATGGAACAGAAGCTGGGAAAGGCCACACCAGTGGCGAGGCTCTGTCCTTGACTGCCCAAGGGGACAGGAGGCCAGCCCAATGGGTCACCTGCACGGCAGACAGCGAGGTGCAGCGCTCGCAGATCTCCTTGGCGTCGCTGTCCGTCGTCTTCTTGACCTGGAGCAACCAGGCTGCCTGGGAGAGGGGCTCCAGCGTTTCCTTGGCTATGCTCTTCTGCAGATTCTTGTCTTTAAGCCATTCTTCCAAGTAGCTGATGTTGCACCTGGAGTGAGCAGAGGAGCGGGAAAGGAGTCAGGGAAGGAGGTTGAACCCCACAGCGTGCCCCAGCGGAGCAGAGCTCCCTGAGAGGAGCAAGGGCCTGCAGTCTCTTGCTTGTGACACATAAAGGGACGACATGATTGGGGAGCGTTAACGTAAAGCAGGTAGGTAGGTCAAGGGTGAAAAGATATGGGCAGGTGCTCTACCGCTTGGGCCAGGCCTCCATTTTTTCACTTTATTTTTCACATAGAGTCTTGCTTTTTTTTTTTTTTTGCCAGTACCAGCCTGGACTGTAATTCTCCTGTTTGTGGTTCCCATTTAGCTAGAATGGTAGACTCTACCATGCTGTGTGTGTGTGTGCGTACGTGTGTGTGTGCGTGCATGCGTGTGCGTGCATGCGTGTGCGTGCGTGTGTGTGTGTGTGTGTGTGTGTGTGTGTGTACGCCAGTGCTAGGGCTTGAATTCCCTTCCTGGTTATTAGCCCTGAGATTTTATTTTTTGCCAGTCCTGGGGCTTGAACTCAAGGCCTGGGTGCTGTCCATGAGCCTCTTTGTACTCAAAGCTAGTGCTCTATCACTTGAGCAACAGTATCAAATCTAGCTTTTCCTGAGTAGTTTATTGGAGATAAAGAATCTCATGGACTTTTCTTCCTGGGCTGGCTTCAAACTGTGATCCTCAGATCTCAGCCTCCTGAGAAGCTAGGATTACAAACGTGAGCTACTGGTGCAAAGCTCCTGAGCTTTTCTTTTAGTCAGTCCTGGGGCTTTAACTCTGGGCCTGGGCGCTGTCCCTCAGCTCTTTAGCTCAAGGCTATGCTCTATCACTTGAGCCACAGTGGGACTTCCAGTTTTCTGAGTGGTTTATTAGAGATAAGAATCTCATAGACTTTCCTGCCCTGGCTGGCTTTGAACTGCAATCCTCAGATTTCAGCCTCCTGAGTAGTTGGATTACAAGAGTGAGGCACCAGCGCCTGGCCCCTGAGCATTTGTTCAAGGCTAGCACTCTACCACTTGAGCCACGGCTCCACTTTTGGCTTTTCGGTAGTTAATTGGAGATAAGAGTCCCATAGATTTTCTTGCCCAGGCTGGCTTCAAGCCTTGATTCTCAGATCTCTGTTTCCTGAGTAGCTAGGATGACAGGTGTGAGCTACTGGCGCTCAGCTATGCCTAGTGTTTTATTGGTTGAGATGGGGGTCTTGAGAACTTTTTGTCCTGATTAATCTGGAACTTCTATCCTCCCAACCTACCTGTCTCCATTGGTCTTGGTGCGCCCCAAACAGTGGATCCAGACAGTAGTCCAGTCGGTACCACCACTGCCTTGCCCAGGCCCATGGAAGTCCTCTTGGACTTGATCACTCCATACACGTATCTCTGCCTCCCTCGACTCTGGCCTGGCTTGTCTCTTCTCCCAAGTGCTACCCCAACTACTGTTTGCCACTTAATCAGAGTGAATTGTTATTCAGCTGACTGGCACCTTTGGAGAGCAGGCGGCCAGCCTCGTTCCCCATAGTTTCCTATGATTTCTACCTGACAATGACATTCAGAGAAGGTGATAGTGTACAATGTCCTTGGGAGGCCACAATTTAAAATATACTTTTATTTTATTAAATTTTTTTTTCATGGAGCTTGAACTTGGGGCTTGGGTGCTGTCCCTGAGCTCTTTGCTCAAGGCTAGTGCTCTACCACTTTGAGCCATAGCTCCACTTCCAGTTTTCTGGTGGCTAATCTCACAGCCTTTTCTGCCTGGGCTGGCTCTGAACTATGATCCTCAGAGCTCAGCCTCCTGAGATCTTAGGCTCCTATCTAGGATTAAGCCACCAGTGCCTAGCTCAAATACACTTTTAAGTCAGGCTCTGGTGGCTCCTGCCTGTAATCTTGACTCTCAGGAGGCCGAAACCTGGAGCATTGAGGTTTGTGGTTTGGAGCCAGGCCATGCAGAGAAGTCTTTGAGACTCTATCTCCAATTAATCAGCAAAATGTCACGTGGAAGGCCTTGAGTGAAAAGGCAGGGTGAGAGCGCTAGAAAGCTGAATTCCAGCCTCCACTATTGGCACAAGCATAAATCAATACATACACAATTACTAGTTCATAATTGCAAGTGTCAGAGATCAAGTGTGTATGGGGGGGGCTATGGCCTGTACCTACTTCCTAGTGCCCACCGGCACCCCAACCGCATAGCCTTCCTGGGGTTTTGACGCTGCCAGCCCTCCCCCTCCGCCACGTAAGCAGTGGCTTAGGGGTTCTACCTGATCTGCATCCCCTTCCTGCACGAGCACATGTCCTTGCGCAGGAAGAGGCTGTTCAGGGTGACAGCACCGATCAGGAAGAATATCTGCTTCACGGCCTGCCTCAGCAGCTCCGGGTCCAGCCCATTCTGGCACATGGTGGTGTAGAAGTAGCTGAGCTGCTGCAGGATGGAGGTGATGGTGTAGGCATCTGTGTCATCAATGCTGGACGAGCGCTTCCGGAAGCCCGTGGGCTTCAGGCCCGAGATGCCCTGCAGGCTCTCATACTCCAGCATGCCCGGCACTGCGGGGAGACGGGGAGACGGAGAGGAAATGTTACACCTTCCCTCTGGGGCCTGTGTCAGGAGAGAGATGTCTCCCACAAGGCCAGTGGGAGGGGGTTGGGGAGAGGGCAAAGCAAAAGCAGCAAGGATGTGGGGGTCCCCAGGCATGTGTGGGGGTCCTGGGGTGTGGACTGCTGTTCTGCTCACAGCAGAGCAAGAAAGAGAACTGGTTAGCACTAACTCGAACTGTTTCAACTTCGAGGCTGCTGAGGAAAGTGAGGGAGAATTTGAATGAGGATTGGAGATTTCAGAACCATTGGCTAAGGCATGTAAGAAGTGAAAAAAAAGGTCTGGGAAGGTGGCTCAGTGGTAGAGCGCTTGCCTTGCATGCATGAAGCCCTGGGTTCGATTCCTCAGCACCACATAAGCAGAAAAAGCCGGAAGTAGCGCTGTGGCTTGAGTGGTAGAGCGCTAGCCTTGTGCTGAAGAGCTGAGGGACAGCGCCCAGGCCCAGAGTTCAGGCCCATGACCGGCAAAAAAAAAAAAAAAGGAAATTAAAAAAAATCCTCATAAAAGGAGATGTTCTTCCAACTTTTCTCTTTCTGGATCAATCATCCTTAAAGAAAGAAAACTATTTGCTTCATACCATTACTTATTTCTGGAATCATCTTAAGCAAACAAAAGATTTAAAAGATGGATATTTATGCAATTATGTTTTCTTTTTTTGGTCATGAGGCTTGAACTCAGGACCTGGGTGCTGTTCTTGAGCTCTTTTTGCTCAAGGCTAGTGTTTTATCACTCTGATCCACAGCTCTACTTTCAGTTTGGGGTAGTTAATTGGAGATAAGAGTCTGACAGGGACTGAGAAGGTGTCTCAGTGGTAGAGTGCTTGCCTCGCATGCATGAGGCCCTGGGTTCGATTCCTCAGCACCATATAAGCAGAAAGAGCAGGAAGTGGTACTGTGGCTCAAGTGGTAGAGCGCTAGCCTTGAGCTGAAGAGCTGAGGGACAGCGCCCAGGCCGAGTTCAGGCCCCACAACTGATTTAAAAAAAAAAAAAATTCTTACAGACTTTCCTGCCCAGGCTGGCTTCAAACTCTGATCCTTAGATTTCAGCCTCCTGAGTTGCTAAGATTACAGGTGTGAGCCACCAGTGCCTGGAATGTAATTATGTTTTCCTAAACTCAGAGATCTTGCTCACTTTTCTTGCTCAGAGCTGGTACTTTACCACTTGAGCCATACCTCCAGCCTGACTTTTTACTGGTTCACTGGAAATTTTTTGCCCAGGCTAGATTTGAACTATGACTCTCCTCAGTAGCTAGGCTTACAGGTATGAGCCACTAGCACCCAACTACATTCTACAATACAAGTTTATTTTGTCATCAATTTACTTCTTACCTATTATTGGTTGGATGTTATTTTCCATTACAGTAATGAACTGATGATATATCCGTATAGCCACATCACTAAGAATCTGTCTGTATTCTGAAAGGTCAAAATTGTTCAGGCAATTCTTATTCTGACGGGGGCTGTTATGTTTCATGAATTCCTGAAAGTAATTTTGAGTACATACATATTAGCATTCATAGAAAATGAAAATAGCGTGTAAACTAATGACAGAGTTAGCATCTAGCATAACTTTGCACCGCAAAACTTAATGTCTGAGGGCTGGGAAGGTGGCTCAGTGGTAGAGCGCTTGCCTTGCATGCCTGAGGCCCTGGGTTCGATTCCTCAGCACCATATAAGCAAAAAGAAAAAAGCC